GGGGTCGTTCCATAGACTCCCGTCCATAAACTACACAAAGCTCCCGATCGGCGGGGACAATGCGTCGATTTGCAGCGGGCACCGCGGATTAGATGGGATCGGAGCGATTGGTCATGAGCTGTGCCCAACTCTTGTTTTTATTTCCGGCCGAGGCATTGTCAAGTGGGAGATACCTCCAAGTGCCGGAAGAACAGCCTCGATTTCCATTCGCACATCCCGCTTCGCCTACCTGCGCCGTTGTCAAGCCCCGAAAAATTACCTCTCCGCCTTTGCAATGGGCCACTAGACAAGGCACGAATTTAAGCATTCTGATACATGTTCCTTAAATAGAATTTCACGTAGAACACGATTCGCGCAACGAAAATCACTGAAACTAACTCCTAACGAATATATGAACCTTTTCATTTCACATTGGTTATGCGGATTTTGAACTGCCCGCTCACAAGAAACTCAAAGCTCTACGTGAGTCAAATCGCGCACCACAACGGTTTCAGCAAGCCTCTCAATCGAGCAATGTTCATTTCCCTCCATGTGTTGTTCAAACTATAAGCAATTTGCAATAGTTGAGCCAAAGCGTCAACATTGAGGTTGCCAGATTTTTATATCGCAGATACTGTCATTATAACGTTTAGCGCGCGATGTGAATCACGCAGAGCATTGAGTTTTCATGAGCGGGTGGTTTGAATTCACACATCAAGAATCATTAAATATCTTCGTAAGGAGTTAATTGCGGTAATTTTTGTTGTGCGCATCGTGTTCTACGTGAAATTATAGTCAAGAAACATGTATCAGAATGCTGAAATTCGTACCTTGTCTAGTGGTCCATACCAAGAACGGCCAAATGTTGCAACGCTGTACATTTTCACCCTTTCGTGGGTGTAGCGTTTCCATTTGTCATGACAATTTTTTTTTTTTTTTTTGATTGAGATAAGCTTTTTAATTCCAAATTGGTCCATCAATTACGTCACTCAAATCTTAGAACATACTATTTCGATCTTAAAAGCTGCGCACCAAAGAAGAAGAAAAAAAAACTCCGGCTATGAAAACCGCGCTCTGACGGACTACATGGACATCCGTCCGTTCCGAGCATAGAAACCGAAAGTTCCGGGTGTAGTACTTGTTGCTCCGGCCACTGAACCAGGAGCAGTCAAAGCCACGGCTCCAGCACCCGGAACTATGTTTATCGGCCTCTAACCATAAGTTCGGTAGGGACGGTGTGTTTTCATTGCCCCGTAACTTTTTCTAGTGCGAAAAAAAAAAAAAACAAGTGCGTCGTTCCATCGGAACGAAGTTTTTAATAGGAAGCATAGTTTTACCAATTACTCGTAACCTAATTTACAGGCTTGCCCTAGGGGTTATTTTTTAATGCCTCCTAAAAATGTGCGATGTATAGCGAATTTTTCTATCGATGAAGTTGGGAATTTGGGATGCAATAGCTTATCACTTAACGTAAACTTTTTCAATAATTTGCTACCTAGGTACATGAAAATATCATAAAGGAAAGTGACATCGCAATCGTTAGGCAACGACCATAGCCTGTGACCAGTGCTTTATTTTTATGAGTGATCTTTTGAGCTGCAAAATCGTCGCTCCTCTGACGTAAGGGCGTATCTAGATTTCTGCATGAGCCTTAGAAAGCATAGAGTTATACGGAGCACAGGGGTCACGTAGAAATTAAGTTACGCCCTTACGTCAGAGGAGCGACGAAATGAGCAATACCCTAGGGAGGTTGACGTTTGCAAGGTTGAAGGAGCGCCTTGCGATTGATGAGTCGTGAGGTAGGCAACTGATTATCTGGTAATGATAGTGATTATCAACCCCGTCTATTTGAAGGCGTATCTTGGGACTGTTTGCCAGTCGTCGTCTCCGAAGCAGTTTCAAGTCCATGTTCACACCCTGCTCGGCGCCTCAATCCTGCCATGTTAAGGGAGAAGCCCGTATGAACACTCAAGAGTTGTCAGATTTCCCTCGATAAATCATGTATTTTGACGAGATTCATGCATAATTTCCCCTAAAAATTTTCAGATATTTTAGATTAAATCGCGTACAAAATTGTCTGAAAATTTTGGGGGGAAAAATTCACAATTTTTCCAGTAAATTCGGTTTTTATCGAAGGAAATTTTGCAACGCCTGAAGGCTCATACGGCGTTCTTCCTTAGCACTGAAGAACGGCCAATCGAGGGAATGAATGGACGTCTATATGGAACATGGAATATAATTATAGCCGCTTCCTTGTTGCAGATAATTCATGTATTTTTGTCGAAATTCATGCATAATTTCCCCTAAAATTTTCAGATATTTTAGATTGAATTGCCCACAAAACTGTCTAAAAATTTTGGAGAAAAAATTCATGATTATCCCAGTAAATTCGATTCTTATCGAAGACAATTTGGCAACGTCTGGAGGCTCATACGGCGTTGTTCCTTAGCTCGGCAGAACGGCCAATCGAGGGAATGAATGGACGTCTACATGGAACATGGAATATAATTATAGCCGCTTCCTTGTTGCAGATAAATCATGTATTTTCGTCGAAATTCATGCATAATTTCCTCTAAAATTTTCAGATATTTTAGATTGAATTGCCCACAAAACTGTCTAAAAATTTTGGAGAAAAAATTCACGATTTTCCCAGTAAATTCGATTCTTATCGAAGACAATTTGGCAACGTCTGGAGGCTCATACGGCGTTGTTCCTTAGCTCGGCAGAACAGCCAATCGAGGGAATGAATGGACGTCTACATGGAACATGCAATATAATTATTGCCGCTTCCTTTTTCCAGATTCCCCGCGGAGGTTGTTCCTGTAGATGTTAGCGGTCGAACGTTCCAACGGATGACGGTTCAGCGACGATCCCTTCTTTTAGTCGACGGCGAATCTGGCTCCAGGAGACGGAGGAGTCGCAAGGTCCGCGGTAAAAGACGCAACACGATCGCGTGCACAGACCAAAAGGAACTCGAAGCAATTGTCTAGTAAGTATCCCGTCTATTTGATTCCTGTGTTTGCTTACAGCAAACAGTGGTGAATTGGACCGAGTTTAACAGAAAGGAACCAAGCCACACCAGCTATTGCCAAGTTTAACTGAACAATTAAATTTTTTACGAAAGAACGTTTGTTCGGATTTCTTTGAAAATTTTAAGGAATTTGCTTCGTGCTATGGAGAATTTTCACTGAAATTTGCACGAAAATCCGCACAACCACTTTCATGTAAAAAATTAAATTGCTTAATTAAAGGACGACGGACCGGTCTTATGGGAAAAGTGGGCCCGGTTAANTTTGACCCCCAAAATGGGGGGTAAAACTTCGAGATAGGGAGAAATGCCCATTGACACTTTTGATCAGTAGGTTAAGACCTACAACATATCAAAACGCCAGCCGATTTAACCGGGCCCACTTTTCCCATAAGACCGGTCCGTCGTCCTTTGGCAATAGCTGATGTGGCTTGGTTCCTTTCTGTTTAACGCAGTCCAATTGTGGATTGTTCACATCCCTAGGTAGTCATCGTAAACCTTTCAAGTCATTTTAAAGGGGAAAGTGTAAAGCATTTGCGCTCTATCTTATCATTTCCAGCTGAACACTTGATTTCAACAAAAAGAAGGAAGGTCCACAGGAGATAAGTGTAGCGAAAATAGAATGGTGTTAGAAATGATAGGAACAGAATATGATGAATCATGAGCAGTTGGACCGTGTTTAGTAGAAAAGAGCCAAGCCACATCAGCGATTGCCAAATTTCATTGGGCGATTTATTTTTTTACCTGAAAACAGTTGTGCGGATTTTTGTGCAAATTTCGGTGAATTTTCTGCCCAGAAAGAAGTAAAGTCCTTACAATTGTCGAAGGAATCCACACGAACGTCCTTTTGTATAAAATTAAATTACCCAGTTAAATTTGGCAGTTGCTGATGTGGCTTGGTTCCTTTCTGCTAAACACGGTCGGAGAATTTGCACGCAATTTTTTTATTGCTTCATCTGAAAGTGCCTAATGAGCTGAGTTCGCAATATTTTTCATAATTTTTTTCTGGCATGGGAAATTGGAGAAAAATTGATTTAAAAGTGAGAAAATGTGCCGCCTTGTGACGTCATCTGGCGGCATTTCCCATTTAAACACATGTATTTTAGCAGAATCGGTTATTTTGTCATATCTCCTCTAATAATTGCTCAATTTATGAATCAAGGGTATCTTCGTGTTCAGTTCACTCAGAGGATTCCACTTAAACAGGAAATTCATCAAATTTCAGACCCTTGCAAATTCTCCATCTAGTTCTTTCCGCAACCACCACTTTTTTGCTGCCCCTCCCCCGTTTCTGTGCACCCTGGTACTTGCAAGTATGAGTCGTATTGGTGATGCGAGCGCTCATGAACTAGAATTCTTTCGCCAGAATAATTATACGTCCTAAATGCAGCTTTCTCTTTTTCACCAATTTGTATTATTGTTTTTGAATTATTTCCTATCTTTTGGATGAATTGAGCCAAGGTTAATTTTACTCGCCATACCCTGCAGGCACTCGACAATGTCGCCTCATTTGCGGAATCATCAAGGAGCCTCACTATTACAGTATTTACCTACCAAAAATTTTGGAAATTGCCAAATATTTACTTCGTCTTATTGATATTGCAGGATGCCTAGCGACCGGGAAATCCGGAAAATGTCAGGGAGTTTTTTTGTGTTAGGGGAATCAGGGAATCCGCAAAAATTCAGCATGTCGGGAAATTTTATTTTGCAAGTGATTTTCGTGACCTGGAAACACAAGGGAAATTGAAAAACACTGATTTTTCGGAAAATGTTTCGCTAATTTCACTCTCGCAGAGTTTAATGTTTGAGAAATCAAAGTTCCCGGGTGAGCGGTAATGCGCTCCAGCGGACTGCTAGCGAATTCCCACCCTTTGTTTGTGATTTGGCGTTAAAACATGAAAAAATTCTCACTTACATCTAGTCAGTTCCACCGTGTTGGAAAATTAGGAATATTTTACCTTTTTGTCGAGGAAATGAGAAGGAATTTCAAATTTTTCCAGTTTTTTCCGTTTTTGTTGGGGAAATCAGAGAAACGTCTGGGAATTTTTTTTTTGGAAAATTGCTGAACACCCTGAATTGAAAAGAAAACTGATTTTAATAGTGAGATTTGGCGCGTGAGGCGAGTTGGCAATTGAACAGACTCCGGGCCAACAGGTACCGGTAGAATGTCAAGCTGAAGAGACGCAGCCTCATACAGCAGGACCCGAGATAGTCGCCACCTCTTTTGATACGCGAAAATGGACTTTGGTCTTTGACACTCACTTTCAATCGTCTCGCCCGATTTCCTACGATCCCGTCAGTCGCTTTCCGAGTCGCTCCCGGCATCCTTCATAGATTTTCACTGTTCAAGCCTTCGCAAGCTCTCCTTCAAATGTCGCGGTGACAATGGCGTTTCCCGTTCACAAGCTTTATCATCATATAACTTTGCAGGAAGTGATCAATATTGTCAGAGAATTCGAGTCCGAAAAGAAAGCCAAGGAGCAAAAGTTGTTTCGTGTCAACAGTTTGCCTATCGTCGGTTGTTGCATAAGGTGACCTTTCTACTCTCTTAAATCATGGTTTTCATTACGACCATTATCTTAATTTCCATCATCATAATGCTCTCCCTACCCACAAGGCTGGTGNNNGGAACAAGTGTGACCGTATATGTAGCCACTCAACACCATTAGACCCTCATGAAGGATCAATGGACCCTTGGCACCTCCCCGCGAAATTTAGTTCATGATCATGGTGTCATCCTTCGTTGCTTCTATAGTCCCCTAGATTTCAAAGTACGAGCATTTTTAATCTTATCATGGTATGTTCGGTATTGGAAGCTGGCCAACAGCCCCATCATGTTTTTCGTCAGTGTTTCAGTTCGCGATCCTTTTTTTAGAGATTTTAACTGATAAGTTAAAAGTGGTAAAATAAAGATTTTTGTTATCAATAGTAATCCGATAATGAAACTAAATTAGGATGTCAAGATCAAGATGAATAGTGCCCTCAAGGTCATATTATCTTTTGTATCGGGTCGCTCACTGAGCTTAAATCGTTCTTGAATGTCCTTTATTTAGCTTGTTGAAAGTATTTACGTCAAAACACTTTTCTGATTTTTGTTTTTTCCTTCTGTCAGGTTTCTTGGCTCTGTTATCTGAACAATTTTTTTGATAATTGTTAGAGAGGGACTACTTTTTTACTGTTCCCTTTTTTTCATTATTTTTCTTACTGAAGGTAAACCGTGAAATTTAATTTCTATTCAGTCAGTTTACTAACTGTCTAACCTGGTATTATTTTTTTCTCCATCTGTACATACATAATTTAAAGAAAGTTAATTTTTTCTTGACTTAACAATTTTTAATCGCGAACCTGCTGTATTCATCGCTTAAAGAATCAACTTTTCATCATCTGTAGTGATTAATTTATCATTCATCTTTCTTTAATAATCTTGCCCACTAAGAATTTGCAGTCAAAAGTATTTATAACAACTTGCTTTATTTTTTCACTTTACGAAAGTATTCCATTGGAAGAGTAAAAAAATCTGTCGGTATAGCTTCAACAAGAAATGATAGGAGTGGTAAAATCATAATTCATAATGAAATCAAAGTAGAAAAACACCTTATTTCTTAGTATATGAAGATTCCCATTATGCCTCTCTTTTTCCTTACAAAGCAAATTTTACTACCATCGGAATTAATATTGATTTTTACTCATTTATTCATCATATTCATCATAATTCATTGTGTGCTTTTAAGCTTTGTAGGTGATTTCTCTATCAACAGAGGAAGGGAAAAAACCAACAGGAAGACAAAGAAAAAAAGTATTGAAAGTACAAAAATTGCCACCATAGTCAATGAGTCAGTTTACATCAGTTTACATTTAATTGCAACTTATTTTACCCCGTATTGGATGCATATTTTAATTTCTTTACTCCGTCCCTAACTAAATTGATTTTCATTGAAAATTGTCACCAATTGATTTCAATATTTGACTCCATAGAAGATAGTTAGCCAAAAAAAAAAAATGTTTCTCTTTCAAGCTTTACATATCCTGCATTTTGGCTAATTCCTCTAATATTCTTCTTCATTTTTTCAGCGATTCGTCAGACGTGAATTTTGGCAAATCGGAGGACATTGAATCATCGAGTGATAGAACAATCAGCGAAAAGAAATCTCATTTGGATTCGTTGAAAGAATGGGGTCGAGCTCGACTTCGGCTAATCAGAAGTGTGGAGCCGGCCGTAGTTAAATTACGTGAAAGAGCTGGATCAATTGGTAGACGGAAATGGGACAAGGAAGAAACTCCGTATTCATCCTCCGGCAACTGGTCTGCTAGTTCTGAAAGTGGTCATTCAACGTCAACCAGTCACATTCCTAGGTAAGAGGAACTCAAGGCGTAAAATTTTGAAATTTACACATCTTTGACAGAATTAGTTATTTTTCGAGTGAAATATGGTAAGCCAGGCTACCCAACTTTTCAGAACTGGGCTGTCTTCAGAGCAATGCCATAGTTCTCCAAATACTCTCAAGCTCTAAGTTAACTGGACTGCGCTCAGTAGAAAGGAACCAAGCCACATCAGCTTTTGCCAAAAATTGGGCGATTTAATTTTTTACATGAAAATGGTTGTGCGGATTTTTGTGCAGATTGCAGTAAATCTGCATAGTATAAAGCAAATTCCTTAAAATATTCAAAGGAATCCGCACAAACGTTCTCTTGTGAAAAATTGCCCACTTGAATTTGGCAGTAGCTGATGCGGCTTGGTTCCTTCCTGCTAAATGCGGTCCCATTATGCAGGTCATTTAGGCTACCTTTTGCACTAAGGCACTACTATCTCTGGCTTATTTTATAAATAGCGTATAGTATTATTAGCGTGTATAATTAATTTTACCATGAAAATAGCTNTTTTTACATGAAAATGGTTGTGCGGATTTTTGTGCAGATTGCAGTAAATCTGCATAGTATAAAGCAAATTCCTTAAAATATTCAAAGGAATCCGCACAAACGTTCTCTTGTGAAAAATTGCCCACTTGAATTTGGCAGTAGCTGATGCGGCTTGGTTCCTTCCTGCTAAATGCGGTCCCATTATGCAGGTCATTTAGGCTACCTTTTGCACTAAGGCACTACTATCTCTGGCTCATTTTATAAAAAGCGTATAGTATTATTAGCGTGTATAATTAGTTTTACCATGAAAATAGCTGCCTTATGAATAAACCAGAAATAGTTGTTTCTTGTTGTAAAATGTACTTTAATTGAGACTTTCAAGAATATTAGCAGTTTATGAGACTGATCTTTTAATTTTGGCAGTGAGAAATACTACGTATGTACTCAAAATATTTAAATACTATAAAGAAATTTGCATAGTATATCTTTCTCCTACATTTGTTGTACAAATACCTCGTGAAAAATTGCATTTAAGATTTGAACTATTTTTTATTAAATCTCAGACCGTAATTTTGTTGAAGATACCTTTCAGTTAGCTTAATTTTCAACTTAGCTTCAGCAAACAAAGTTAAAATTAAAGAATCCTGTCAGTATAGCGATCAAAGATACTTTAGCTTACCATGGATTCCTTCTGTCATTCTAAAAAATTCATCATATCCCGAATGACGATTTTTCTCAGAACTTTGTCCTCAGATGCATAGAATCATTTTTAGGCCAACAGAATTTTATGAATTTTATGATCAATCCAAAAAAAAATTAGTATATTCTTTTGTCTCCAATGAAATCTTTCTCGCTCATGATTTTTACAGCAGCTCTTGACAGTTCCTTTTCATTATCTCAGTAAATTGAGATTGTATGTTGATTTCATATTTAGCTCAAAGGTAACCAAAATTTTTTTAAAAAATGTGTGTAATGCTTTTCATTTTGTTTGAAACTGCTTTACCCATTGCACTAACCAAATATCAATTCTATGAATGACTTTTCGATGTTTTTTGTCAAGTGCCAAACTGCCTGCTAAAGCTAGTGAAATTTTTTTTTTCTAAATTAACTAAAAATGAAATTTTTTGGAAATGTTAATGCAGATTATTAATTTTTTCCAGGTCTAGCATAAGTAGCGGCAGCATGTGTCCGAAACACGGAAGACGACCAACTATGGTTTCAACTTCATCCTCAGTAACGAGCGAGAGCACAGTCACTGCTGATGACGGTGAAACATGTTCTATGTACTCCTGTGATACAGAAGGCTACTACACATCTTTTCACCTGGACAGCGGTCTGAAAACTCTACGAGAGGAAGAGCCTGTTTCAGCCATGCACTCGTCATCTGCACTGTCAGGTAGCCGGTGTAATGATTCACCAATGACAGGTGACTCAGAATATGAATTATTTGGCAAAGGCTCTACCTCAACAACAGCGAGCTCCGCTGGAACGGTTTGCACAACACTCCTCATACCGCCAACTCCGCCCAACGTTCCTGAACGTAAAAATAGTCAATTGTCCTCTATGAAACTTCCTGAAAGAAATGTGCAATCTTTAAATAATTTAACCATGACCGGTAAAAGTTCCGATAAATCAGAACGAGAAACTCAAAGTTTGAAAATGGATAGAAAAATTTCAGAGCTTAGCCAGTTTATCGGTAACGATAGCGATAAGCCCTCTCAGTTAACAAAAGCAAATGTCTCAAAGCTGAAAGACATCGATAGGGATTATCTCAAAGAGAAAGGAATAATCACTGTCGATGTCCATCATCACAATGAACATTTAGTGTCGGAAATCGAAGGCTCACCTGAGAAATGTGGTGATTCTCCGGATAGCGGCCACAACACATGTAGTTCTCCTGTTGATTCGATCACATCACCGTCTGTTGACATGGAAATGTCTGAGTGCTCTGATTTAGAGGGGCTTGACAGAATTGATAGAATCAATCGCAAAACTGTCATCAATTCCAGTCGCATCCCATCAATGTGTGTTATTACTCCGCCACAAAGTGACGATGAAGTTAGTTTGAAACAAGGGCTGAAACCCGCTGTAGATGCAGGAGACTATGTTACCATAGCTGAAGTTAAACAACCAGCAAGTTTCCCACCTGTACTCATAAAAGAAACAGAATATGTTTCTTTGAATGAACTTAACACGGATGCCGTAGACTCTGCAGCCGAGAAGAAACGAAGAGGCGCAAGAGTCACTCTCGACTCGGAGGGTAAAGTTGTGTACTCATCAGAGAGCTTACGAAGGCGCAAACAAATTCACACAACGAATACTTTTGAACCCGGTCCAAATGTTCTCCCAAATAATAGTCCTCTTCCGCATCACCGTGCTGTCATCGCAAATGTGAAGCCGCTCTGTCCGAAAGGCTCTCCTTTGCCGTTGAGAATCAAACAGGCTTTAGTCGGTTCAAATAAAGTAGAACCAAGTAACAATCTTGATAGAAGTTTAAAAGCAAGTGACAATTCTTTCAAGAGCTCTGTCGACTGTCGTAAGTTGAACGGGGCATCACCATCAAATGGAAACATAGCTGCGCCAAAAATTGTTAGTACATTCTCTAATGGTGGAAGTGTAACCAGACCACATGGAGTCAAATCAAACACTCCGCTGATCCTTACTTGTTCCACGACTACTAATCGAGGTATGAATGTTTTGCCTGGGAAAAAGATTGTAACCCAAGCGAATGGTAAAAAAATAGTCTCTCCAAATTCTCCAAACCAAAGGCCTTTATCTCCTCTCGTATCCTCAGACCCATCAGTGCAGAAAAATGTCGTCATTACTTCTACTGCTAGTCCACATCAACAGTCTTTGAACAGACGAGACTCTACGAATAGTTCCAGATCTAATTCCCCGTGTGTGATTTCCAACTCTCCATCATCGCCCAAGCCTGTTAGCAAGACTCCTCCGTCAGATCAGTCTATTAGTCCGATTAACTTCAAAGGCGCATACGTCCGAATGCAGGAGCCATCTGACTGCTTAGAAACTTGTCTGGACGATCCTAAAGCAGCCGTCAAAAGGAGTGACAGCTATAGACTAGCTAACGACAAAAACGCGAATGAAGAGCTTACCGTTTTTAACCCAGCCTCTCTCGGGAGAAGACCTAGGGGAATCACTGCCACAGCCGGTCCCAACCTTTTGGTCTCCATCAGAGCATCTCACAGTAATCAAAAAGGTAAACGTTACTTTAGGAATGATGAAAACACTGAAATATGGTAGTTGTATTCTGCACCTATGTTTGGTTTGTTCTGGTTTTTGTGCTTTTGGTGTTCTCAACGTTTTTAGTTGACAATTTTTGTTTTAGCGTTTTGTTACTGTGAGTGTGAATATTTTGTTTGTACATTCCGGTCTGTAGATATCATCTCCCATTCATTTTTTCCCTCAAAATAGTCAGTCCTAGTGAGAAGTAAGGGAATCGTACATATTCTCAAGAGCTGAATGGCCACAAATAGCTTTAAAATGAGACAGATATCGTGTTCAATTTGATTTTGTGGAATTGAAGGAAAAGAGTGACTGATATCCCTCCCCCTTCCCATTTTCTCTTTTTCCATTTCCTGGTTTTTTCAATCTTCGTCATATAATCTTGCACAATCCAATTAAAGGATTTTGGTTTTATAAAATGCCAGGCTGTGTGTTAGTATTTCTGCCTGTTTTTGCACCAGTTTTTATTAATTTTTGAAATCAAGTGGAAAAATTGTTTTTTTCTTTGTTTAATGTACATATTTCTGTTTCTCCTCATCTCTCTTTAGGTAAAAAAGAAAACAATATTCGAGCAAGCTAATGGGCTGATTTTTTTGAACTTATAGAATTAGTTGAAAATAATACTGAAATTCTTAGAAAAATGCAGTGAAAAATTTTAGTTTGAGAAGCTACCGCATTGAGCCTTACACTTTCCCTCTGGAAGAATCTTGCTTTCAATAGTGAATAAGAGAAAAATTATGGGGTGAGGGACGTATGGAGTTCTTCATATATTCAATATGATCATTTTAATCGAATGATAACTCTCTTATTTCAGAGCAATTCAAGCAAAAGTTAAATAAAATATGTAATGAATCAAAATCACTCAACGCGTTCTTTTTTATTTTAACTAATTAGAAAATAGTCTTGTGCTTTGAGACCATGCTTAACCACCTATCTGGACTCAACCGTTTTATTTTTAGACCTAGTCTGTTTGACAACTCAGTGTACTTTTTTATTTTCTTGAATTTATAGGCAGTAATAGTAATAATTATTATTCTCCCTCTTCCACTTTTTAAACACCCTCCTCATCAGTCATCCAAAAACTCCTAAATAAAGAATTCCTATAACTGAACCTGAGTATTTTTCTAAAGATGTTTGATAGGTAAAAACCTAGAAACAAACTGCAATCTTTATTTCAAGTGACTCGGAGCAAACTTTTCTCTCAGATATTCAAAAGAAATAGAAGAAGGAGAAGGATCTCTGATAGTCAGTTTGAGTGTCAAAATTTTCATTTTTCAAATTTACAGTGAAACTTACAAAATTTTAAACGTCATTTTACAAAATCATGTTAATATCTTGCTCAGGAATTAATTTCAGCAATTTTTAAAAGGAAATATAAATCAAAATGCCTAAATGTATACCTTGTAGTTATAGGAGTTCATTGAGTTCTAGAACTCAGCCAAAATTTCAAAAGCAGGATATGTTCTGAAGGTAATCACAAACCTACAGTAAACATAAATAGGTACTGTTTGAAATTAGTTTATTGTTTAAAGGTATAATTTATTCAAGTTTTACCCATAAAGCTCTGTAGATTGTATACTAAATCGTGGTATACTCTAAAATTTTTTTCTCTCAATTTTTAAATTATTTCCTCCCAGATTTGCTGAAGTAATTCAAATTCAGGAAAAAACAAAAATGAAAAAAATCTGATTATCACATAATTCACAAGGGCGATTAAACTCATCATCCCGAAGAATTTTTTTTTTCTGTATTGCTCAACAATTGATGCATTGAAGTGGTAAAGTCATCCTCTTTCATTACCGATTCATTCACCCATATGAGTAATAAGATGTTTCTCTATTGACACTGTAATGTAGCTAAGTCTGCAATTCCGCAAAGCTATCAATCAGCACTTGATTGTGCTCTTTCTTCAATTACGTATTAATTTTTACCTTTAAGTTACAATTATAATCAGTTTCTTTCTCAAATAGATATAATATTTACTCAAGTCCATAAATTGCAGGTTCTTTTAGGAATCTATGCTCCAACAGAGATAGAATATTTTTCTCATTAAAAAAAAAGCTGCTCATTAAAAAAATTATCTTTCGTTTCAGGGAGATCCTTCAGCTTTCTTTGATTTTCGACAGAAACATAGTCATAAAAAGCCCCTCTAAGTATCAGTAACTTGCAACTGATCACTCGTTCCTTCAAATGAACCATCAGTTTTTTCCATCCAACGATTTTTTAAGTTTTCTCCATTTTTCATCAGTACTCAAGTGATCCTTGAGTATGTTTTACCCCTCTTTTCCCCCTCTTGTGCATGTTAGATAGAACATTAGTACGATCAGTAAAATTCTTTTGTCTGATTTTACTACCAATTTTAATTGGTCAAACTTTTCACCTTGAGATATATTATGTCCAAGCTTGATTTAGAAATTTTATGGTGCAATTTTTAGATTTTAGATAATTTTTATTTCTCTTTGTTTATTTTTTGTTAGCTTTCTCTCGAAACTTTCTGTTTGTATCATAGTGTACAGAAAGAGGCGGTATTCTTATTTCAGCATGGACATTATGAAATCCTCGACTCAATATTATTATTGATCTCTTGAGTTTTTCCGATTTAAATCAAATAAATCTTCAACAATTCTCTTGAAAATTTTTTGTTTTTAGGAAGGTCCAAAAATACTGATGGATCCCTTTTAAATCCCAAAGTAATCCCAAGTAATCGAAAGTGAACTATGTGCGATTTGATCAGTGCCTCCTCTTTTAAGTGATATTTTAAAACATTCCATTAGAAAAGAAGTTATACATTCTAGTTCCTGAGTTTCAGTATTATACATATAGATTAGTACAACATGAGTGATTCATGTGGGAAGAAGAATCAATTTATCAAGTGCAGTTGCGTGCGCTGAAACCTTCTCTTTCACTCGCACATTACCTGAATGATCTTTAAATCCATAACGCCGGCCAGAGTCTAAAACCACAGGTCTTTACTGCCGTGCTAAGGAAGAATGCCGCATGAACATTCGAGAGTTGCCTTTCCCCGCATAAAACATGTATTTTTAACAAAATTAATGCATATTTTTCCTTGAAATTTTCAGATATTTTAGATTAAATTGCAAACAAAATAGTCAGAAAAATTGGAAAAAAAATATTCACAATTTCTATTTCACAATTCACATTATCATAAGAAATTCGTATTTTATCAGAGGAAATTTGGTAATACCTGAAGGTTTATACGGCATTCTTCAGGAGCACAGCAGTTTATTGCAATGTGTAACATTTATGCTCCTACTATACTTCTTCGAACAGAAACAAGCCAACTTTATAGCTTGAAATTCGAACAGAATTTTCCACAGATATAGAAGAAAAGGCACTGAAGTTTTAAAAAAAATTACGTCGACTGCTTTCAAAAGAAAAAACAAAGTACAATAGGCAGTCTGCGACATCGCAATAGGAGATACATGGTTTCGGCCATGAATGTACACGTACAGTATAGGTAAGCTGCTGGTTTCCTAGTCTCTGTTTGCTGTTTTCATGGGTTGGAAGATCACTCAGGTAATGAGCAAGAAAAAATTTCATAGCTTGCCACTGATAGAGTGATAAATTAATGATTAACTCATCACTTTAATTTATTTAACTTTTTTAGCCTTTTCTCATCGCTGTCTCATCATTTTGTTTTGTAAATATAATTTGTACATACCTAGCATGAATGCACCTATGATGTGGATTGTGCACACTGGATTTCCTTAACATGCCAGTAACATTAAATATTAATTTTTCAATGAAATCTCACCTTGCATTTCAGTTTTGTTCTCTCTTTTTTCTGTTTCACCAGCTCTCTCTAACTGCCTCATCTTCCAAGATTTCTTTTGCTCTAAAATAAGATTCGAAGTAAAATGTGTTCCTGCAATAAATAAGCAGAATGAGGTGTAAACAGTGTTGCAGTGTGAGCAAAAAACCTATTCCAGAAGATGTGTTTATGCCTACTATGTTTTTTCAGTCCCATTCACTTAGAGCAAAAGGAATCTTGACCATCAAAATTCACGACATCGCTTACAACTTTTTTCTCTTCATGCAATGTAAATAATATGCTTGACTAATGAGGTAGTTAATGATGTGCTAATGCAATAAATCATCCATTGTTTGCCGAAGATGATTTTTGAAACACGAGTGCTAATTTTAATCCAACTAGCAAATATTCATTGCATTAATTAAGTCAAAATTCAAGGCTTTTTTTGATTTTTTCTGCAAAAGAAAAAGAAAACTAGCTCCTTATCATGACTGAGAAGAATTAAAGGAAGGGGAAGTTAAATTAACAAGATTGAAGAATGAGTATGCTATGAAGAAAGTAATGCACTTGATGCTGAATTCAAGTGTCCTATCAAATACAATTCTTTTTTTTATAGCCCTATTTTTACCTATTTAATTTCTATCATTGTAAATTTTTTTCTCAGCTTTTATTTTCAGGGACTTATGTTTTTTTTTTCTTTTTTTTTTCATCAAAAGGAGAAAACTATCATAAGTTTCCTCAGAGTTTTGATCAAATTGAAGTACATCAAACATAAGTTCGACGACAATTTTTTAGACAAATCACCCAGGGAAATATAGAATTTTAGAAAATCCTTGAAGCCAAAGATCATTGATAACTAAATACTCAGTGTGAGGAAAATTCTCCCGTTCATCAATTTAGCTTTTCACCGATATTCACATTTTTAATATTTAATAATGAATTTACAGTGTTTTCCCTCCAATAAACAAGGGGAAAAAAAAACTTTTCTCTCACTGTCCGAGTTTTGAGCACATAATAGGTACAAACCGTTCAACATTCAAAGAGAAGTACTCTATGAAGAATGGTAAAAAAAGTGAGAGTTGATTTTGGTATACTCAAAGTTCTTTGAAATTTTCTCATTTTATCATTTATGTTTTTAACCCCAGTTCTCTACGTAGCCATTGACACAGTGATTCAAACCAAATTTAGTTGGGGAATTTTGCTGATCATTCCTTACAACCATGGTGCCAGCCCTAATTTCACCAAAAGTCCTTTTTTTTGTTTTCAATGCATATATGTACTCTAATTTCTTCTAAACATGAACTCATAATCCATTTAATCATTTTTAAAGAGAAAAATGAGAAACGAAGCATTATCGGACATTGGGCTCGTTTTCGTAACTGTTATTAGTTCCTGTATTCATATCAACCGCAAATTTCTGGTGATCTTGTTCAGCGGGCAATTTTCCCATGTTGTAATACATTTTTTCACTTTCCTATTGCTGAAAAAATCTTCACTGGCTAAAATATAATAGGTAATACGAACTTGGGGTTTAAAAAGTTATGCCTTCCTTCACACGCCCTCATATCATTGTAGTGGTCAAAATGAGTTATTGCTGAGCAAATCTTTCAATTAATTTAACTTAATGGACTCATCCTCATGATTAGTCAAGAATATGTACCTCAGTTTTGTGTACTATATGTAAGTTAACGTTGTTTGCACTGAGATTTGGATTTTTGGAGCTGCTGCTTGGTTGGTACTAGCTTGCGCTGGTCTCTTTCAATGTTCCATAGCCACAAGCGAGAGGGATCTGAAAAACCAAAATCTTGTTAACTTGCTTGGTGTGTTAATCTGCACTGTGTTTTTGGTTGTCTTGACTGCACTGCTTTGGTTTTCTATTTTTTAATCGGCTAACAATTTTTCCACTTGTAAGGTAAGTCTGTGTGTTCTGTCTAACGTTTTCTCACTCAGCATGCTGTAAATAATTTAAATAATGGTTCTCAATGTCATTGCGCAATTGCCAGTACTACTTTACTAAAAGTGTTTTAGCTCCTAAACTCTAAGGGCTGTTTTTAAAAAACGTAACACTGGAAACCTGATTTTTTTACACCCTCTCCACCATCATCTCACAAAATCTCTTTTGTAATGTGCCAAAGTGTTGGAGTTTTTTTCATAATAATTAGACTGTATTGTAGCAAAATTATGCCCATCCTCAGTATTTTATTAATTGTAAAACTAGCAAGAAAAACAGATAATTATCACTTAATGGAACATATGAATCTGCTAAACCTGCAAACCTCTTACTTTAGACACATCATAACTTCAGTTGCCTTTATTATTTGAACGTATTTCTGTCAAACGGAACTATGTGCATTAAGCCATGAGCCCCATGATCCATAAGAATATATGCATAACAGGGCTCACATCATACCACACATAGTTCTGTTTGGCAGAAATACGTCCATTGTTGGCATAACTTCTAAAGCATCATGTGTGTATCCGTAGTGTTAACACAGTAGAAAAGAATTGCAAGACTTTTTCTGTAATTCATGCAGATTTCTTAGACCTTAACCAATACCTAGTTTTCACAACAGGTCATCTTTTTTTATTCTTTGAAAAAAGGTGCTTTTGAAGGCAATAGCTAGTCATGTTCAACATATTCCTCTAAACTTTGAAACTAAAAATTTTTTGAGCTTTGAATTTTTTCCTTTAAATTGGTTACTTTTACTCTTTGTTATTATAATTATTTATCTTTTTTTTCTTTTGATTTTTTGACAGATTGTGAGCGTCCATCAAACGTCAGTTCATCCTCAGTTGAAAACTGTCAAATTACAGAAACTGGAACATGGCCAAGAAGATCAAAGATTCAATCAACCTCTACACCTACAAAGGAGAACTACAATCAGTTGGAATTCAGCTCAAACATTTCCCCCATCCAATCACCGCAGAATCAAAGACCAGCTCCAGGCAATCAAATGCCAAAGTCTTACTCGACTGATTTTCAGCAATCATTAAATGCTCGTGATAGGTTTTATAATAATTATTTAGGTTCCCTAGCTGAGATGTACAATAGTGTCAATTATAATCATATAAAACACAAAATGAACGCTGAACTCATGAGAGCAAATGGGGGGCAAGCTGTGCCGGCTGCCTCTCGGCCAGGCCCCAACAGACAGACAGTAAACCCTTCACCTAGCCTAAGTAAAAATTTAGCTCAACCTCCATTTCAGAGTAGAGTCAATCAAACTGGGCAGCCCTCATTGTCTAGTAACGCAACTAAACGCTTTCCTCTCGCAACTGCAAATCAAGTTGATCGAACAAACCATCTCAGTCGCTCAGAATCTCCCATGCTAATCCGCAGTCGGACTGCATCCCCTCTCAATGCTCCCCAAAATCAGATCACTTCCGCAGGAAACTTTCCTCAAAATCGGCCTGCTTCTCCCATGAGTCGACAGCAAAACCGACCAGCCTCACCAATGAATATGTATGCCTCCAGAGGGAAACAGATTCCTTTGAATGGAGCCGTTGTTCCTGTAGGGGTGCAGCAAAGAAGGTTAGCATCTCCTGTCAGCTTCCAACCTATTCGTGCAGTCAGTCCGATCCAGCAAAATGCCAGGTTGCCAGACCAGAGGAGGGCTCTTTCACCGAGTAGCCTCTATGAAACTAGATCTCAATCTCCTACTACCTATCCTACTCACAGTATGAATAATCAACCAGCTAGAGCTCTTTCTCCATCAAGCCAATATCCGAATCACAGTATAACACCAAACCAAAATACATTCGCTCCTCCTTTTATTCGCACTGAACGAGACGGCATTAGTACAAAAATAAATAACTTTAGGCAGAATGTTTTGTCAGATGGTCGGAAACCTAGTTACCCCCCAGAAACTTTTTCTAGTGTTCGGAGCAAGAATAACATCTTAACTGAAAAAATGAACGCCATGGAGGCCAATTCTCGCAAAGATGATGCTTATAAAAAAACTGAATTGGTGCCACGACCACGTTCAGTCACACCGACACGAACGGGCATGGATTTGTATGCGGTTATTCATGAATCTAAAAAACGAATTAAAGCTTTGCAGAATGGAACTTCATTTGAAGAACCTTGCCCATCAAACCATAGTTCACAAAATAATCTCACAAAAAGTTCCTCCTTCAATTCTAGTCTGAGTAAATCTGGTGAAGATTACTCCAAGGAACAAGTAAAAACTGCACCTAAAATTATGTCAACTACTAGGAGTCATTCGGTCAACGATTTTAAACCAGTAATTGAAAAATTCAGGCCAAGCTCTCAAACGTCCAGGTATGATTTTAAAAAATTGCTACTCAAAACAGGATGGGGCTCTTCGAATCGGCTTTCGGAAAAAGTCTCGGCAGTTGAAAGATTGAAAAATAAAACTTCGCCTGAAAAACAGGCCAAAGAAAGTAAATTTTCAGTTGTCGACAGGCTTAGAGAAAGGACTCCAACTCCACGGAAGAAACAGCCGTGGAAGTCTAATGTTCTCTCTTCCACAATACCTGAAGATTGTGCAGAAGATGAAGAACCGAGTAAAAAATTAAATGGTAGCGAAGCGAAGGAAAGCATGGATCAAACTTCAGAGAAAAGACTCAGTCTGTATCTAGAAAAAGAATTATCAATTCCTAAATCAAGTGCCTTAGTCAATCAACAACTCAAAGCTTTTAGTCAAAATAGCTCACCAAACATGTCACCCAATGAGTCCCCATCAAGGAGGTCCCCATCTGATAAATCATTAAACAGATCTCTGAGTCGATCACCCTTGAATAGGACTGTTTCTCTCGAAACCTCTTTATGAATAATATTTTCCCTACAAACGTCTCTCATTCCAAAACTTGTTCATTTTATATGTTATTATCGTATTGAATCCTCCATCAAATTTCTCATTTTTTCTTTAGTCTCATAATAATAGGAGTTGCGAAAAATTTCCACTTTTTTAAAAAGAAAAATGTAGTCCTGTTGTTTTATATTTTCTTGAGACTAATGAGTATTAAATCAAAAATTGAAAGAGATCTAATTTACGTGCAGGTTTTACATTGTAATGGAGCAATGAATCATTGAAATTAAAACATGTTGGTTGCTTGTGTAGAAGAAATAAAAAGAAAAAAAAATAAACTAGAATCCTGTTGGAGCAAGAAGCGAGTTTTTATTCTTAGATAAAATAATCTCTTAAACCCAGAAAAAATTGAATTCTATTTTTGTCTTCTAAATTTTCCCTTTGAAAGTCAGCACTTGGTTAAGAAACAATTTTTTGTATTATAGGCGAATTTTATTTCCTCCAATGTAAATAATTGTACAGATTTCCTTGTTTTAAATATTCTCCCTTTCTTGAATTGTATTTTTGTAGATATTTTGCTTATGACATGTGTCCTGTAATTCTGAAGGTAGTGATCTGAATATCAAGAGAAGTCATTGGCTTACACTAAATGATTTTTTGCCTCCATGGCTTAATTATTTGACTTTTTAAATATAGTACATATTAATTTTAAGAAAAACAAGCATTCATCAGCTATGACAAGTAATGACACATGTTTGCTGCCATCTTATGTATACCTAATTTAGGTAATCAGATCATAATGTTAAATTTTGTTCCTATAACTTGATGATTTTTCTTTTTAAAAAAAGAACAATTTAAGCTTGATTTATCATTGTTCATTTTACATTTCTACCTGAAAAGGCATATTAGCCTCATCCAACAGCAAGATTTTTATCACAGGCTTTCCACAGCTGCGGAAAAGCAAGACAGCCTGTGAATTTCTGTCAAGTATTTGTAGGACACCTATGAGAATAACTACTTCTGCTTTAAAAATCATCTTTTTTTGCAAAAAATTTTCATGCCTTTTACCATCATACTTTTCCTCTGTCAGTTAAGTTCACTTGAATAAGTGTCTTATGCCACTCTCTGGAGGATGTGCAAGCAGTAGGACAGGAGAGGGCCACAGCTACAATTTGATGTTAGATATTTTTAGTTTGAGTATTTTTTAAAAAAATCCAAAATTCTATGTTTTCTGATTGTATTTTCAAAACGCTCTTTTCACATCCTCCACAAAACCAAGGCATGAAACTTAGCGGCTTTTCTGTGTTTTTTTATTTTCAAAAGTGAATTCAGATCAATGATTTTTTTTTCATTTATCCATGTATTTTCTTTTACTTTATTTGTATACATGCATACACATCTAGTCCTTCTTTGAGCCAGTTGCCTATGTCACATTAATGAAACTGACATGCAAAATCCTGACAAGATATCATCGCAATCAAATACATTAGTTTATGACAGTTTATTACAAAGAAATTTGAGTAATTGAAATTGTGATTTAAACAAGTCAACGTCTATTTAATTTAAAACGATATTATTCAATAGGTTGGACTTGCAAGTAAATTTTTGTTTAAAACAAATTGAATGAAAGAATCTATGAACCCTCATTTTTATTCCTGATGACACAGTGATGAGTCTCTATTTATTTTTGCTGATTTTTTTCTTCGATAGGTTTTGCTGTCAAAGTTTCATCTTCGTCACATTCGTAGCCATCCTCTTTGCCCTCCAAAGAATTCCTTTCTTCCCTCGAAAGATTATCAAACAAATTTGTATGTACTTTTTATCAGTGCCTTTTTGTTTTAAATTGAGATCTTCTTTTTATCTTTCTGTATCGATAAATCGAATGATTTTATTGTAAAATTTGAAGCAGGAACTGCTGTTGTAATTATTTATTTATGATTCTTATAATCTTTTGATAATATCTGACTTTTGTACATTAATAGTAATTTATTTTCAATTCCTTTTTTCTCACTCATGAGAGAAGGAAATAAATTTATTTCATGAATACTGACTATTTTTCTTTTGGGTATTGTCCTTGCATGGTTGATGAAGTCTCCCCTCAAAATATTTAGAATTTTTTCTCAACAGATACTTACTTAGCAGGAGCTTTTCATGAAACACATGACGCTAAATTTCGAATTTTTTTTACCCTTTTTCCCTCGTAATGCTTTTGTGCCGTCAGTACAGTATCCTTTCACATGTTAAAACAAAAGAGCGTAATACTCTCCTTAATCCCAAGCCCCCTCAATAGCGTTACGTATTTTATGAGCGGCCCCTTGCTTGTGATTGATGGATGAATAGAACATAATGTAATGTTTCAGTCAATATGAATATTTGTTATGATAGTGGTGTAAAATGTTGAAGTGAAAATATAAAAGTGTTAGGTTTTTACTGCAATCAAACTATACGCTCACAATCAGCTGAAAAGAATAAAATGCATATCAAGTTAAAATTGAAAAAGAAGGTTTGAAGCCTTATTTCTCGATGAGATTCAATGAAAAATAAATATAATGTCCAACTCCTGATCTCACTTACAATTTTTTTTTTCGTGGCTTAGAATTTTTTGCAAGAGATAAGTGATGAATGGTATCACAAAGAGTCTTCTGTTCTCTCTCTCATCTCGGATGCATTTTCAGCTATGGTTGAGAATTCCCAGAAAACTGGAAAAATCAAATACATGCCTATTTCAAATTTCAAGTAGAATTTACACATGCTCGCAAAAAGAGAAAAAGGAGACAAAAAATGAACATGAAATAAAAATATTTAAAAAATGTAAGAATCTGATAAAAATAACTAAATATAAAGTTCATAAATCTTTGAGACCTCGCCAAATGAGTTCAGGCATTTTTATACTGCGACAGAAGATCTGCCATCTTGCTTCTTGCATACTTTGCACGTAGATGTGACGTCAGACGATCTCCTGTCACAGTCTAGAAGCGTTTTAAAATATTTGGCATGGACTCCAGCTTGATTCACTAGAGAGCCATAGGTCACTGCTACCGCTCCTAGTAGCAAATTTTAGTGATCAACAAATTTCGCGGAAGAAACGGAAGGGAAACAAGTTTAAAGGATATGTACGAGAGTGCTGCTGTATATGCTGAGAGAAACTGCAAAAACCTCAAAACTCTATTAAATTTTCATTGGAGTGGCAATTAACTCTGAGAAGGATTTTAAATTAATGCGCCAAAAGCCCCTTCAAAAATGTCGCGTATGCAATTCCACGACGGTCGTGCTGAAGAAGCCTCCGTGTGAAACTTCAGGGGCGCTTGACGGTGGAAGAATACTATTCTGACTTCACGAGCAGAGGACGGAACTCGGGAGGTGTAATTCGATCGAAGTTGAAAAATGGCAAAAGGTGCGGCGACCCCTAGATTCGGCTGCAAAGAAGAGGATATACCTCGGGTCTCCGGTTCCCGCCAATATCCGCAGTTGGCTGAGGCCAAAAAATGTTTAGTCCTCAGGGACCGTCCTTAAGGAAGGTCAACAGTGGGTACTTTTTTTTTAGTTTGATTTTTTCTTTTGCATGGTTGAATAACTTGAGCACCAGGAAAATGCAGGTCTTTAAAAGTCGATTTTCTGGGATGTCTGGTGGAGAACAGTGGTTTGCAAGTTCTGCGTTTTTCCCCATCATTTTTGAGAGTCAATTCTTTGAAAATCCTCAAAATAGCAGCGAACGGTTTCGGTGAGAAATCTAATTATATCCACTTCACACCATTCACCATCGCCATGAATTTTAATGAAAAACCTGAAGATTTTTTCAATTTGCATTTGAGATGGGGGAAAACGGGAACTAAGGAGTTACTTACTCATCAGTTTCTCCAGATTTCCAGAGAATTTGAAGTTTCTGATGTGTATGAATTTTTCCTTACGTTCTAGTTTTTTCACTCATCTCTCATCATGAACCAGAAAATTGACAGATAGGTAAGAGTCGAAAAATGTGCAGCGTCTTTAAATCTACGATTATTTTTCTTTTTCTCTATTTTTTCTTCTGTTTTAAAGGAAACAAACTAACATATCTCTTCGAAATGTCCAGTGAATATTTTTGAGTGTGTGATAGAAAATCGCAGAAAATCTGAAGAAACTCGTCGGTCAATTTTATCTTTTAAAATGAAGAACATAATCGGAGACTTCACATTGTCGTAACACTCTCCGACTAGGGCTATTGGTTGGCTAAAGCGCAGCATGATAGCCGGATGAAATAAAGTTTCATTTAAGAGCCTTCAAGAGGCGGGTTAGGCAATATCCCATACGAGCAGGAGTTGTTGCCTATTTGCAGGGGCACAATGCTTACGTTTTCACCCAAATGACCAGAAATTGCTGCGCGTGTGATGATGAGCAGTGGTAGCCGAAAAATTTACTTGTATTTCCTTGGAAAATAAGTGGTTACCCAGCGTTATTTTTCTGGCAATGATATTTACTGAGGATATTGCTGACTTTGACCACGACCCTTGTCGGTAAAATAGAATGTGTAATACCAATCAAGTTCTGTAAAAAAAATACTTCCTCAAAAGTCATTTAGATGGGGCATTAAATAGCAGAAAATAGGTAAAAATATTCTGCAAGTGCCCGTTTTTAGGTTTCAAACTTCATATGGATGCTTGTACCCGCCCGACTTCAGTTTGGCTTCAGTCGACGCGTCGCTATCTCTCGGAAGAACTGCCCAATCTTGACTTCAGAGGCCGCAGCCGGTGCGATTAGGCCGCCATATTGTGCGTAAGTTGTCAACGTGACGGTTTTCGAGCCAGTGAATGAAAAAATAAGTTTGATTACCGCGACTTGTCTTTATTTTTATTTTTATAAATTGTTTTTTAATGGTGTATCTAGTGTTGTGTTATCGTCTATCGCTGTTAGTGTGATTATTTTTCTGTAAGTGCCCCATTTTCAGTTGTACTACTTACTTTCTGTTCGTCACAGGTATTTATTTTAATTTGACGTTTGTCAAGGCCTTTGATTGACCTAACCTTAATGAATCAGGGGTTGTGTAACGCCTTTAATTCCTCAGTCAAGAGCATTAATCATTTTAACGTTTAATTTGCTTCCCTAATCCTGTATGGGCGTAGATACTTTCTATTGTTTTGAACTCAACTTGTTCCGCCCTGCTTGTGTTTTTTTTGGATCTCATCACTGCAAGGCAGTCAGGCAGGTTCCAGGAATTGAGATCCTCTCTTTGAACCTGTTTCATCTGCCCTCTCCACTCCTAGCAGTATGTACATGTACTCTTTTTCGGCTTTTTAGGTTGATAAGCACTACTATATCAGCTGTAGAGTGCAAATTCCTTTAACACCTGAATCACGCCTATCATCCACCCTTGGCGTTAAGTTGTTCTGTTGAGAGAGGACATGAGATCCGGTAACACATTATTGTACCATTCAGAGAGTCACGGGTGAAATCATAAAGAGTGGTAGTTTTCTTTACTTTTAAAATTGGTATGCTCAGTTATTCATGTTTTGACTTGGTTGTTGAGTTCGAAGGAGCACGCGCAACCGATAATCACTAGAATGGGAACCAAGTAAATTACAGCACCTGAAACCTATATCAGCCCCCTTTTCCCACGCTTAATTCTGACTTTGGAAAATGACTGCTCATACCTACACTTGGTCCAGGAACTTTCCGTAATCATATTGTCCAATTTATCACTTCGTGATACCTACGCCTATTGAAGGTGAAAAACCTCGCAAGGGATTCTCTTTAGGTAATGCTGACCCAAGGAGTTGACCATTCTCAGCATTTCCCTTGTGTCTATCCATAACATAGAGTAAAGTCAGCAATCTAACGCCTAAGAACAGCATACCTAACATATTACTGCCTTTAATTACAAACTGACACTGAGAGAGATCATGACTCGCGAAAGTAAACGTCAGTGTAATCGATTTGTCAATATAAAGTTGGGCACCCAACAGTGTTAAAGATGTATGTATTGTTGAGGCTTGTGCGAGGTGTGCTGATTAGCAGGGATAGAGTTTGCATGTCTTTCACATTGCCTGGTTCAGGCACATGGGCATGTCAATCTCTTATCATGGGTAATTATCACTTGGCAGGTTATATTTTCAAATTAGGCAGAGGATTTAAGCACAGGCTATTTTTTCAAATTCAGCTTTTCAATTTCACGATTTGTGTTTGAAGCTCATCACGAATAATTTTGGGTAATTCGGTTAGCCTAACTCGGTAGTATTCATTAGCATGTTTTTCAGCCTGAATATCAGGCTCCGTGACGAATTAATGGAACTTACTTCATTGAAAATTTTCCCTGTTTAACTGATCAGTTCAAGAGAAACTATCATGAACAGATGGTGATTTTCTTTGATAGAAAGAAATAATGTGATAAAGTATAAAGGTACTTATTGGCAGTAGACAGCATAAATAGAGGATTTGTATTTGTTAGGTTAGGACCTTTCTCCATGAGAGTTTAAAAAGTGAAAATAAGACTAAAGCCTGTATCATACGATCAAAGGAAAGCGCTCAAAATTGCGTAGCGTTGAGTCTTGTGACGCCACCTGAGAATTCTACTTTTATCGTTTGACACGGGCCAAATCACCCACCGTCGGCAATTGGAATTTATTGAACTATTTTGCAGGATGGGGTTGTCTCATCCCTTGTCAACTGTCCCCTCACAGTGTTTCCCCGTTCCCACAGGAGGCCACATGTCAGCACGTTCAGCCTGTGGCGGTTTTCCCCGGGGCTTGAAGCAGGAGTATTAAGTTCTTGGTGCTTGACGCCATGCGCCACGCCT